AAAAAAAAAAATGGACTTCCGATCAGTGTGACCCACTTCGCGGCAATAGAGATAGAGCATTCCCGACTTAGTTGTTCATACTTTTGCGTTTTCCAATCAAAAACATTTTCCTCCATTTTAGAAGAGGCGGACGGAGGTCTAGGACACCCTATATATAAACATAGTTATATAGATAAGACTTTTCGAATAGGTGGCAACTCTTGTCACACAAATTTTCCAAATAAAGCTTTCTTAAAACCTATATTTTCAACTAAGTAATATTTTAATATTGCATATAACTTGTGCATAATTTAACCTAATTCGCCTTTCGAACAGGTGGCAACGGTCTATCAAATATTTTAAAACCAAGAACTTCTTTAAACTCGTTTTTGATACACATTTCAATTAAGCGATAATTTAAGTTGAATCTGACTTCTCTTAAATATGTCGCTACCCTATTATGTATTCAGATACGGTGTAGCCTCTTTAAACCTATTTTGATTGACACCCACGTTTTAAAAAATTTATTTTACTTATTAAAACAATTGAATTGAAATTTTTAAATAGATGACAATCCACTTTATATACCTTAGAAATATTCAAAGTAAATAATTTTTAATGCGACCTTAAAAACAGGTGGTAACGCTCTTCAAAATATTTTCAAATGAAAAACTTTTTAAAGCTCTTTCGTCTGTTACTTATTTTGTGATACATATTTTGGTTACTTTACTCCCTTAATTCAAGCTAAATTTCACTTTCTAAATAGGTGGCAATCCTTCCACAAGTAGCTTAGAAATAAAATCTTTTCAGAAACAAATAACAGCAAGCAGCATTTACCATGAAAAAACCAAACAATAACTTGGTTGAAAAACCATTGTACTTTGGCTCAGTGTAAAGGCACGATTACGATTGGCATTAAGATTATGATATCGATTTTGATTCTAATTATGATTACGATTACGATAACGGTTACGAAAGCAATTACGTTTGCGATAAAGTTTTTAATTTATCGTTTGAACTCTCCGTATTTTTGATGAGGAAAATTTCCATCCAAGTTATTTAATAAAGTAGACAGATCTTTCAAATATACATATTTACATACTTCTAAAAAAAAATATTTTCGTTTGGTCGTCCTCAAAATTGTATTGTGTAATTTTTTCTTTAAATTCTTCTAAATTTAAGGCGAAACGCTCAACAAGCTGCTTTCTTTGCTTGCGGTACTGAACTTGATCTTTGCGTGTTTATTCTTGATCAGCTCTGCTTCCTAATGCCATGGGAGCCGGAAAAAGCCATGTGAATTCAGCGCAATGCTCTAAGGCCGATTTCAGAAATGAAGAAACGCTAAATACCATTGTCAGGACGCATAACACCGGCAAAGGAAAAAGCAGAGATCACCGCAGGCAACAGAAGGGCGGTTGCAGTAAGAATAATAATAAGGGTTTTACATCCTTTGTAGCGCTCATCGACTCTTCGAAGCCGCAGATGGAAAATAACAGTGTTTGGGTGTGCAACACCGCCATGGAAAACTCCAATAATCGCAACTACTTAGTGGATGCTCTGACACCCGGTCAGCAACTGGAAGAAATCGCCAGGGCAGGAGAAATGTCAGAACACTATCGAAAATCCAATGGTAATGGAAAAAGTCGAAGGACCTGCTGTATTTGCAACTGTAATTGTTCAAGGAACAAAAAAATGGATTATCAAACGGAACAGCGGAATGGTTTGCAGAGCATAAGTAAGCCGATTGAAGAGTGTAATAAGGGACGTATGGCGCAACTGAGCGAAGCCGAAGAAATAGCATATGCAATAAGAGAATATTGTTGTAGAGCGCGTGAGAAAGCGGACAGAGCGAAAGCTCGGAACAAACGCAGGTGTAGCGGAGAATTCGAAAATAACTGGCGGCTGCAAAGCATGGAGACGGACGACGATGACGAAGATACAGACACAGAACCAGATATCGAAATCGAAGTGGAAAATTATTGTTGCAGCGCTGAAGAAAGAAGAGTTCACGCGAGGAGAGGAAAATGTTGCAAACGCTCTGCAGATATGAAACGGCGAGGGCGAAAGCGAAGGGAGGAAGACGAACTCGAAGAGGAATATTCGGAAGAAGAACAGGCAGTGGAGGAAGAACATACGGCGGAAGAGGAGAGTAACAAGAGACAACATAATGCAGAAGAAGAACAATGTTCGCAATGTAGATACGCTCAGCAGCATGCAAAACATTTCAGATGCTATGATTGTAAGAAAACACATAGTACCACAGATCAGTCGGATGAAAACGAAGACAAGCTGGACACCTCGGTAGAGGATATAGAGTTAGAAGTGCAAGAAGAGCGGTACGAAAAAATCGAGAAAATATCAGCATTAGCGCCGCAAAGCCGACGCCAACTCCAGAAAAATGAGGGGCAAAGGCCAAGAAGTCTCACACAAGAACGATCTCAACATCTGAGAGAGAGTAGCCGTACAAAAGAAAGTGAACAAAAGCCTTTTAAGCAAGAAAATAAAGTGCTGTTGAAAAAGACAAACCTTTACGCACGGCCAAAACAAACAGACAAGGAGGTGCAGACGAGGCAAAAACCAAAAGCAAATGAACTCCAAGAGAGTAAAACAAAGCCGCAGAGAAGTAGAAGCGAGAAAGTGCAAGGAATAGGGGCTAAAAACCAAGAGCAACTGCGCGTGGAAGACTGTAGAAGCTGCGATTGTGAGAGGGAAAAAGCTGAGGTGGAAAATCGGAGAAAAGCAGAGATTTCGAGAAGGACCTTGGACATAGAAATAGTCTACGAAAATCAAAACGGACACCGAACAACGCTTGAAGATGGAACGCAAAGTACGCGAAAATGCAGTCGTAATAGAGAGGAGAGAGCAACAGCAAATGAACCACAAAGAAGACGAAACATTAGTGGTAGGGGAGAGGAGGGGACAAAATCCGATAAACCACAAAATGGACGAAATATCAGTTGTAGTAGTAGAGGGGAGAAAACGACAGCAGAAGAACAACAGAGTGGACGAAATATTAACTGCGGTAGGCAAGAAAGTCAGACTAGAGAAGATAAAACTACAACAGATATAGCGAAAGATGCTCGGGTGCAGAGTAGAGAAAGAAAACCACCAGCAGCAGCCGAAAACGAAATCCGAAACAGACGACGCTATGAACGCATTAAAAATAAACGGAATACTCGTACTCAAGCCAGAAAGTCGTGCCAGCAATCAATTGAAGACGAAAAGCCGAGCGAAGAAGCAGCAGAACAGCAGCCTCAGAACCCACAAGATGAGCCTAATTGGGTGCAAACTCAATCAGCCGAGAAAACCAAACCAAAAATCGATTGCAAAGCAGAAGAAGAGAAATCAGAAGCTTCTGAGATGGTAGCAAAGCCGCCCAAAGCGAAACAGCAAAGCGAAAAGGAGTGTCAAACCGAATATTGCTGGCAGAAACAGAGAGACGTCCCGCTAACAAAATGCTGCGAATTCCCCGAAGACGAGTATCAGACTGCCTATCCGCAGCATTCTGAGCAACGCTGTCGCGAAGAGGATCGCCAAGCCATCACGCAGCCACAAATTTCTCTGCAAACACGATTGCAAGAACAAATGAGAGCAAATCAGAGTTCTTGCGACCCACCACCGTGCTGTTTTCCACAATTTCCTTGTTGCTGTGAACAGCCCATGGAGGGCTGTAATCCGAGGGAGCGGCCACCATCCGCATACTGTTCTCCACCAGCAACGTCACAAATGCCGTCGAATTGTTGCCCGCCGCCCATATCGCCACCGCCATACTGTCTTCCAACCACACCGCCTTGTTGTTATGAACCACCGCCTTGTTGTTATGATCCACCGCCATGCTATGGTCAGGAGTGCCCATGTTGCTGTCAACCGATTCGTTTTTGTTACGCGGCTCCCTGCAGCTATACGAATCCTGGTTCGTCTCCCTGAAGGGGTAGAAAATAACCGTGGATGAGAAGAAAACTGTGGCCTACCCTACTGTATAATGTAAATGCTGTAATCGTCAATAGAATATCATAAAAAATACCCGCCTAAGAGTATGCAGCACCAAAGTCACACGCTCGTAGTGAGTATACAGTGCAAATGTCTTCGCTTTGCGCCTTATTTGGTGGTGCACATTTTTAGGCTGACTTAAAATGTATCCCTGCTTCGTTTGATTGGGTGTTTTTTTTTTCCTTTTCAAATTTTGTTGTCATTTGTAATGTTTTGTTAAAAATAAAAATGTTAAAACATTAATTTTTGGTTTTGCTCTCCAACTGGCTGCACAAAAAAACAAATGTAGTTATTTTCCAAATGAACATTTCTGGGCCAGTTCGGGGCTGTTTCAGGACTATTTCGGGCCTAGCTCATGTCCAGCTTATACCATTTCGAGTTAATTTGGGGGCTATTCAGGAATATTTAAGGACATTGTACTGTCGTAAGCAGCCATGGCCACTAAGCAATTGAGTCATATAAAAATCNCTGTATAGCCAAGCTTCGATGCTCGGAATGAGTCGGAAAGTCCAGCGCCCAGAGGAAGACGAGGCCCAGCGTTGCTGCCATAGTGATAGGCTTATTTCGCGTTCGGCCGCGTTTTGCGGGTTTTGAGAGGGCTCTACCTTTTGTTCGGGCCGTCATATAGGTACG